GAACGAATTGCATTATCAATTGGTTGATTATAGTGCAAATTTATGGCACATTACGCGCTCGTGTTCCATGCACACATTTTTTTGAAATATCAAAACAATTTAAAAAAAAACGGAACACGTGCGTTTTCGGTGCAACTGCAAAGATTAATTAAGCAAATAGGAGAATTTTTTGGTTCCCTGGTGCTTTCAGCGGTAATTGTTTTTGCATTTCTGGAAAATGGGCCAAAATGGCGCTTGGTTTGCACCAAATTTACATCAGCATTGCGTTCACATGGTCTCACCATTCAAGTAAATTTCACATCAAATGGATTCCAGAGAAGTTGGAATTTCCACAGGTAAAAACTGGATTTCATGAACAACCACCGCAGTTGTTACAGCGCTGTTGATCTTTGACGTGTACAAACTACACACCGTGAAATTTGTCGTCCGTAGTTACCTGAGAATTTTACTGGGAGAAGTCGTGCACACCGTCACGGTTGCAGTCAATTTTGCAGTAGAATCTGATGGTTTAATGTAACAAACGCTCCTGATCTCCTTGCTAGCTAGCGGTAAAGTTTTGAGGCAATTCTGTCCAGTCGATAACTGGTAATTAGGGAAATATGGGCCTTGCAGTTTTCGGTTTGTCCTCTTATTTCTCCTCTAGCACGTAAAACAGTTAAAAAACTGTACAACCGTGAACCTCTTACGGTAGTTAAAATGTGTATTATAGTTCACCCCTCGTGCTGTTCGTTCTCATTATTCTACGCTTTACATGCATTATCGAAATCCAACCAATCAAATCTGTGCTACATTGTCCAATGACCATTTGTCAACCGTATGGCAGTTTGATGATTCACGCCAAAAAAAACTGTAGCAATTGCTAAACTTAGGTTGTTATCATTAGTAAATGTTGTGCCATACAAAAACTGCCGTAGGCTTTCGCGTAAGTAGGCTAGTCTGATGGTGCACGATCAGGGCTATGGGGGAGATGCTCAGTCACATCCCAAAAAAAGGTTTAATGGGTGTCCAAGATTTGCCCAGTGTTTGTGTGGCCTTGCATTCCTTTGATATTTGCCGATTGTAACCGTTTTTCCTTGATTATTCCTTAACCCAAATCCATTAGTTGCAGACACCAAACATCCCTACTAATCGTATGGTTCCATGAAAGCAGATTAAAAAAAAAATACCGCGCTTTTGTAAATCGGTGTTTCCTGTTATGCAGGTGGGATTTTGACGTGGCGATCTGTTATAATCCATTCAAACGACTAAGTGCTTTTCAAACAAGCTTCTCTTGCCCTACTTGTAGCAAAACGTCTAAGTTTTCTGAAATCGCACGGACAGTTTTGAGACCTTGATCCAAGTGATTCTCACTTTCGCTCTAGTCATCTATAACATCAGAGGAGGGTTTTTCTAACTGCTCCCGCCACGCAAATTCTGTGCAGCACTCGGCACCGTAAAGATCACAAATCCCTTATTAATCCTCAGCAATATTTGTCAAAATGTTCATTTAACAACCCCGTGTGATTAGCACAAACTACAACCTACTAACAGCACTGCGCACAGTTTGCTTTTAGCGTAGGCTGCATGTCAAAAGAAGTTGACAGAATCCCTTCAATGTGACGACTTCTGTGGCCAAAATTACTGCCATACCAGCCTGTTTAATGGCGCCTGCACTACGGACATTTCAACGTTGTATCTCAACAGGTCTCGCTTTTTACTCCTTGAGCCTTTTTCTGATAAACCAAACGGTGCTTCTAGGAGATTTTCATTTGGTTAAAGGATAAAATTGTCGAGGTTGAAATTATAAATTGGTCTATATTTAGCCTCTTGAATGTGGATCTCACACCCATACCGGGTAACGAAATCATTGCCTTCCGTTGCGGCCTCGATCCAGCACTGAAGATGCCGCTAAGACCGAAGGCCATGGAGACTCGGCAGTCAATTTGGTCACTTAATTTTGGTTGCATTCAGTTGGCGATGTCCACGCGTCTGTAGAGGTCCTGGTCGTTAACAGCCTGGAGCCGGTGGTGCAGATGTTTTCACATCGGTTGTCGGTAGAAGCGCGGGGCGATTAGATACACAGGTGCACGACGAGACGGTTCAGAGGGGGTACTCAAGATGTCCGAATATCAAGAACTTGATCAAGTTCCATAGTTGGTGATCCGGGCTTGGAATAACCAGTCAGCCGTGGTGATGGTCGTGAATTGACAAGATTCAACACACTTCTAGCAAAAAAGTGAACGCTCTTGTACTCCATTAATGACGTCATTATTTTCATCCAGTTTATTGATGCCCTCAAACTTCATTGGTTAGTGATTTCAAGTCTAGTTCTAATTAGCAATCGTCGTCACCTTTTCCTCCAACGCAAAATTACTGGATCCACTTCATCTGGTTTTTCGAATTCTCGTGACGTCTGGCGCTGTATTATCGGAACATGACACTAAAGCTTGCTTAAATTCCTACATTTTCCCACAAATCACTTCTTTCAAGGTGTTTAACTGGAAACACTCATTGAACTCGTGTCTTGTTTGTTGTCGCGATCGCTGTCCTTTCTAAATCATAACCTATCGATAATATAAAACCAACATGCTTTCTTGAAGTTTGGAGGGTGATGTGGAAGTATAACGCTCTACACCAACGCGCACAGATCGAATTTTACAGAACATTCCAGATATCGCAAATTTCTCATCTATTCAGTAGTATAACACGGATTCCCGTTTGCCTCATCGTCTTGATTTGGTCTCAATCATCCACAAATCACCCAACTTATTTTCCGCCATCTCGATCACAATCAACTTGCAGAACAATTAAATCTGGTTCCACAAAAGTCGCATTTTTATAACCTGTCTAAAATTTTATTTGTCTGCCTTTGGATGCTGACACAACTACCTGTTTTGGGCCGTGTTTACGAGAATTTTACATAAAAAATGCCGTTTAAAATTCGACAAATGATAGCTTTTAATGCGCTACCAACTTCATTCTTCCGGAATACCACGGTGTGCTGTCAAAATAGAGCGGAACAAAACAGAATCCTTTTTGTTTCAAACTGGCCCCCTGTTTATGTCTCCGGTCTGCTTTTTAAAAACAGGGCAGGCAAAATTCCTTCGGGAGTGGCGCAGTGATTTGTAATCAGCATTTGTGTTTATTTGAGAAAAAGGTTATCAGGTGCTCGGAAAATTACAGCCAACAGTTGCAATCACACACTAAATCACCGTAGTGCGTTTTTTGGATAAAATGTCAGTTAAATCCGGTTACGGGACGTTCAATTCCATGGAAACCACTATTTTGAACTTTAATTCCCCTTAAGTGGAGTTTGTAAGACATTTTGCTCCGGTTTTTCACCTGTTCATTTGCATTCTGAGGACAAATTCAGAGGATTCAATCTTAATACGAGGTTGTAGGTGATCTAGAGTAGAACGATGTATCGCTGGTAAAAATGTGGAAGAAATCAAGTTTCCACATTTGTCACAAAAACCAATCACAGTGACGAAATGATGCCACTGGGCAATGAACGAATTTGAGGCATTCACAGATAACGGCAATTTGAGTGGCTCGAGAACGGTGAGAAGTGCTTTAAATCCTGGATCCAATTTCAGATAAGGAGTTTTTTGTGAGGTATTAAAGTATTTTGGGCCTCACCCTAATGTCCTCCTTTTAATCGATAATTTTTCTTCTAATTCTAACGTCCTCTCTGCCATGATTTTTTTAATTACGTGGTTGCACAGAGAGAGGCCACAGATGGTGGAAATCGTCTACAGCTGTTTTTATAATTTGTGGATTGAGTTGGTTCATGAATTGGACTGCTTTTAAGCTCAAACTAGACTGATTCGGTTTTAGCTCGTAGGATTAAGGACGCAGGAGAGCCAACTCGATAAAAACTCACTCCAGCTAGGTAACCGACCCGTCTTCACGTGGAACCATTTACGTCGTGTCGCTAAACGGCCGGAATCACTTAGGGAATAGGCCTTAGAGTACACTAGAGTTCAATTTGTTATTACCCTTTTATTTGCAGCTTGACTTGAGCAAACTGGAACGAGTTTTGCCGTTTTACACAATCCATAGGCTTAAAAATGTGCGTTACGAGCCCCCTTCAGTACGTCGTAGTTACAACAGTCCCTTGTGTCATCGTTACCACTCCCACCACCAATGTCTGTCATTCACGATAATCTGCCCTGTGCGTGGTGTTTAACAATCAGGGAGTGAGGCTGATCTGGCCATCAAAATATGAGAATCTCACGCATACTGAAATTTGCTCTTTCAATCAGCCAAGTTATGTCGTCCACTGTGGGATTCCCGTGCACCTGGACCTACATTGTGTAACTGGCCATTGTTTAAGTGGGGATCAAGTGGGCCCTGTTTGGTGACAGTAGCCTTTGTATCCTTTTCTAAAGGAAATATCGCTGGTGGGCCCGTATTTGTGTGGGGAGGGGCGCCTCTAGGCTTTGTACTTTCCATCTCCCCCTCCCTCAACATTGTCCGTAGCCATAGCGCCTCCCGGCGACATCTGGCACTCTATTCGAGATTCACCTCATCGCAGCTTTACTGCGCGCTTTTTAAATCATTCACCAGAGAGTTTGCCAGAGCTGCGTAGACAATTGCTTTGATTTTTTTGCCTCGTGGTCCTGTCCAAATTGCAAATTAGTCTCCCCGGTGGGCAAGGTGGCAGCACTGGATAATTAATTGGCTTTCTTAATGCGTGCACGTGCCTGTCTTTTCGCAACAGGTAATTTTCCAGCAGCCAAGGCGGAGTTAAGAAGAATATTTTTTTCCTCGCAAAAGACGGACACTGCATTGTTGGCACACGCGTTTTTTGTCCACCGCTAGGCGGTTTCGTAAGCTGTGTGATTCAGTGATGCTTAGGCCGTCGGGTGGCATGAATAGGCATTTTGGCCTGGGCAAAGATAAACAAACAGATAACTGGTAATGCGCTCGTTTGACTTTAGTCTGAGATGGGTCACAGGTTGGCGTCACCAGTGCCTTCGCCTCTCCCTATGTACTTCGTCTTGTTTGGTCCACTTTAGATGATAGATCACTACCACTTCCGACAGGACGGACTGCTCTGCAAACTCCGGAAGGTCGTAGCCGCGCCTGACTTCATCCGAACGAAACAAGGTACGTTGATTGGCCAACTAGTTATTGATTTCTGCCGCCTTGACCTTAGTCCCCATTTTCTGATTAAGTAGCCCCAATTAGGATAGCCTTAGACCTGACTCTAACCTTAACAGGGACGTGAAGGCGATCGAAAAGTGTGGGCCTATTGTCGTGGACGCGGGGGACGGACACAACAGCCATCAGATTAAATTCCAAATCACGGATACTGTAGCCCACAGCCTGATGCGTGCTGCATGCGTGCGTGCGTGCGTGTATGAGTCGTTTTTCCACCCCTTGGTAGCGGATATGCACTGACTACAATGGCAGTTGTCCACTTTTGTTTACCTTAAAAAAAATGTCTCTTGGCAGACCATCTGCCTTCTAATCTAACGTGGTGGCAGTCATTGGTGTGATTGGAGGCTGCTTAACCAATCGTGGCTCCGGTGTTGGAAATTGTGCCATCTGAAACCAAAATGGATTGGTCGAAAATTCAGGATAAGCATTTTGCGCGCTTTCTTTCTGGTGTGTACACTCATGCACACGCACAGCAACCCAATCCCCCCAAACACTTCGCCGATGCTACTGATATCTTAGCCGCAAGTAGTACAGTTCCAGTGTTGGGACTGATACAGCTCGATTAGGCACAAAGTGACGTGAGAAGAAATTAGCCGTGGAGAAAGAGGCCTAATCGCGAAGCTACGCGATGTAGCTCATTTTCAATTTTGCGTATTTGCAACGCGGTAACATCGAGGGCCAGCGAGAGTTTGAGAGTGTAGTCGCAAGTAGCCAATCAGAAAATTGGCCGGATGCTTAAGCATTACGTTTAGTCATGCATGAAGCATTGATAGTGGTCGTAAATCAACTAGACTCAACTCACCAATTGATGCAACAGTGCAATAGAGGATGCAGGCCACTTGTCTGTTCCGTTTAAGCACACTACCCTAAGTGAACACAACTGACCCGAATGCGGATGTGACATGCGTGTGCTCCAACTGGCCATACTATATAATACCGCTACGTTCAGGCAGAAAACAGCATTCTTACGGCCCAGCACGTTGCAGAACACGCAACACTTCAATAAACGCGCTACAACTTCTCTTCAGTTACCTCTTTCAAGCCGTGCATCACTAAATTACCGCTGGTTACGTTTCCTGGTGAATTGAAAGGTAATCGCTCGGAGTGCCTCAATAAACATGGCTTGACTTCACAACTCACTACTATCGAAAAAATATCAAGAGGTTGGGTTCGAACACAGGAATTCGCCGTGATTTGAACGCTATTTCCACGGAGTTTGTATCGGAGCTGAGACCAAGCCCACTGACCCCGGTAAACATCTTAGAAATGTTGATTACACACGTCAAAAACACCTTAGGAACAGTACAACCCGTTTTATCGAGGGTTGGTAACCAACACGATGAATGCAGCCTGCAGGTTGTGCGAGGTGTGGCGATGTTAAACCTCTGACATCGCTGGCGACCGCTTCTGTTTGCTGACTTTGAGTCCACAATGTCTTAGTTGTCATCAGACCACAGCACACCGTAGCAAAACTCGTTACCGTTTGTCCTCTGCATCCAGGTTAATTCACGAAGTTTCGGAAACGTTTCGCGCCCTCAAAGCTTTAAGGTGGTGGCGGTGGTGGTGGCGCAATGCCTCACACGAAGAACATGATGGATGTCTAGTATGAAGGCGTTCAGAAGGAAACCCCACAATCTTGTCCCTCTCCTTTACACCCGGTTTCGACATAGAAACCATCGAGATAGCGTAAACCTGTTTCTGCTTCCCTCTTTGTTGTCAAACGTGAGATTTCACTTTACCAAGACAACCACCAAACAGCTACTGAAGATCCAACTCAACGCCTGACCACGGTTATCGATTACCAAGACCTCTTACGACACCCACATTCACACGAAGCTACAAAGAGGGCAGATTATACTTCGGCATCACCTCACCAATCCAGACCTGGCAGTCAATCGAAGATACCATTCAGGTTATCAAGGGGCCATCAAACGCACAAATCAATGTAAATTTACATTCCATCTTGGCAGGAACACTGTTGCGGCGTCTGTGTTCTTCGTGGTAAAAGTGATATCTCGTGCGTTCTGGCCCCGACCACTTCTGCTACACTTCGTCAACCGAATCAGTGCTGCATTCACGTAAATCACGCTCTTTTAGCGCGTGTTCAGTAGCATTGCATTTGAATGGACCGGATGACGGATTCCGATCGATGCAACGATTCATCTTGCATTCCTGACGCGGTTGTTGTTAATCGTGTTTTATCGATACGTGCCTATTTTTTACTCTCATATCAACGCACTCTCTGCTGTTGGTTTGGCGCGTAGGCGGGATTTCGATTAGCCGGAGAAACCAACGCCGCCAGATTTTTGTGCTGTAGTTTCCTACTGACAGCAAGGCGATGTCGCGTGTATTTGCTGACTTTTGCTCTTGTAAGCAGAAATCTGCTGATTTGCGTTCTGACCGGAGGGACACGTGCCTGTCCGGTCACTCCAACCGTAGTCAAGTCTCTTTCGAATGCCGCCCCCATCAAACCACCGATTTCCATGTGACCGAATCGGTCACGGAGCGTTCGGTTCCCTTAAAGTCACCTTTCCCGGCCTTTCAGAAGGTTTGGTCATAATGTCTTACTCATGAAGGTATTTTTAACTAGTGTTTCTTGTTTGTCCCGAAAAGCCAATTCGGATAAATGGTCTGGCCGCGATTTCGAGCAGTTGCGAAGTTTTTGTTGCCTCTTCGACAAAACTTTCACTGAGAGTTAAGATAGGGTGGAGGGAATCGACAGTAAAAAGAAGTCTGTTTACGGGCACTTTTCTCTAGCCGTGACCACCGCCGTGATTTTTGCTTCAACCTAAACGTGGAGTCCACTAATGCATAAAGAACTCAATGTTCTTCCACCGGTTGCTGAAATATCTATTGTGCTGTGTAGCGTGGTAATTGCAGTAAAGTGCATAGGTATGTTTAAAGTATACAGCAATGCCAGTCATTGCGATGGTACAATATGAATGTGTTTTTGGAAGAAAAAAAAATTAGCGTCTAAGGCAGCAACCACAGGGGAGTAGTGGCGTCTCCAATGTTTAATCGCGAACCACTGTGGTTGCGAGGCAGCGTATTCGCATGTGGTTGTGATTGGTACAAAAAAAACTCTCGATTTATCAGTGTTACCTTGACAAAAATATGCATGCAGGAATGCAAATAGAAGTCCAGACAGTAATTTTCTACACCCGCGGATTACAAACGGTGAATGGCAGGCCGTCAATGTGGGTGTACGTTAAGAAGTACACGGGGTTTTCCCCTCAACTAGCTGTTCGCCCACTGAAGGAGTGCCGCGCCTACGTGTATGCGGCCTTTTGGGCTCCACGTTACCGGCGCATCCCTTGCAAGTGAAGGTTACAAGGGCGTTACGGTCTGCTAAGTGTGCGCAGTCCGCTACGCACGCACGCACGCACGCACGCACGCACGCACGCACGCACGCAAACAGTACTTCGACTTGCCACTCCAGACAAAAGTACGCCAAAAATTCCTTTTTTCACCGGGGTTGGTGGTGCCACTGTTTTGGCGTTTTTGTCTGAAATTATTTATATCTGTCGTACGTTTGGGTGCGCCAGTGTCGCGTGTTTTTTTCAGTGCAGAAACTTCGCTGCTCTGGGGCGTTTGTAGCAGTTCTGTCCAATGCGTCTTCAGACTGACCATTTATGTAACAGTTTTTCAGATACTACTGAAATTAAAAACTCATTAAAGCAAACGAGGCTCAGTTTTAAAAAAAGAGACTATTGACCATGTCCCTCTGAGTTTTTACTAACAAGAGTAGATAGTTATCTTCAAACCATGTCCGCGTACAGATCCTAGATATTTTGAAATGCAGAGGTATGTAATCGGAAAGATGGTGAGGCGAAAATGGAATGGTGCTGTTATCCTTGAATCGTGGTCACATCGAGTAAACCCATCTGTCCCCGTTGTTATTTTCACTGATTAACACGACATTTCCATGTCAAGTTAAAATTTTGCTTTCATCATTGCACCCTTACTTGCTCATTCCCGGGAAATTCTGTGGTCTATTTCAGATTCCGCATCGATCTCTAGCGAGTCACCTCAAGGATCGCCGGTAAGTTCATTATTTAGGCTGCAATCTCGCCTCTTTTTTCCGTCCTTTGACTCTGGCTTGTGGTTTCTCCGTCTACTTTGATTCCTCACGCCATTCAAGGTCGATTAGAATTCGTCCACTCTCAAACTCCCGGCCAACCTAACCCCTCTGCATCGCTTACTTCACGTAATGAGTGCCTCTTTGTGCATTCTAGACCTCGATTTTAAAGCACATGTCCTTTTAATGGCATTCCTTGCTTCAATTTTTCCTATCTAATTCCCCAAACCACTGACTTACTTTTCTTGTGGATCATCAATGCCATTTCCTTTTCCTATTTTTCGAGGCTTCTGTCTTTTTTGTGTCGCCCAAGGATCATCCACCACCTGCCATGTGAGCCATAACGTGAGCCTTTTTTCTCTCTCGAAATTAGAGTTCTCTGAAGAAGCCGGAGTCGACGATGAATGTTTCCCGAACGGCGAGTCACTCTCTTCCCTCGTTGGCGTCGCTTAACGTCACCTCGCCGACAGTTGCGACTTCGAACGACACCAATAGGGGCTCACCTGTTATTCGCAAGGTCAACGAGGATGTCATGCACTCAAGTACCGATCTCATCTCCTTCAACGATTGGCCCAATGTGACTAGTCTCTTGGCCAATCAGGTAGGCCTTAATGCACGCGCATTGTTTAAACAACCTTAAGACAGATATATTCCAGTATAGCTGGGATGAATACTGCTCAAGATTAAACGATGTACTTATAATTTTGCCTCTGAAGTTATGTGTGTACTTGAAGTGTCGTGAATTTAAAGGAATGACATTCACAGGAGCACAACAAATTCAGTTAACATTCTCGAAATTTGCTAGAAACGTCTTACGTGAAAGTTTTCGCTGCTAAAACGACGTGGGCCTACGAGCTGTGATACACATTTACGATGTTGCTGGGTTCACAACTTTCTACTTAATCCAAATGAGTAATGGTTTTTTTTAAAAAATTCCACATAAGAGAAAACAGTGTTACTTGATCCTAGCGGTTTCTTGTTGACCTTCACGGAAAGTGCAAGTGCTTTATCAGCGAGGCATTTAATAATGTTCACGCATCATGTGCCGCCTGATGCGCAAGTGCACTGACTTGGGTGACTGCGTCATCATTAGCCGCGACCTTTTCCCACAGAATGCCAACAACAGTGCCAGTGCAAAAGCCCTCCACACCAACGGCAGCGCCATCGGACGCAAGGTGTCGGGGCAGGGCAGCAAGTTCGCGCGGCCCATCCTGCCCCCCTTGCAGTCGATTCCCTTCGGTTGCGGCGACGCCCTCGTCCACACCCCCTTCACCCCCATCAACCCCGACGCAACTCCCACCCCCAAGGCCGGGGGCACCATCCAGTCCCCCACCTCCCCCTTCTCCAGAGCCAAATTAAAGGCGCCTCTCATTGCCATAGCAACCACCCCCACAGCCTCATCCGAGTGAGTTAAACAAATGTCGCTTTGAAATTGCATCTCTACGCTAACAGTAACTTATTTTCCGCACACGTATTTGTGTGTCGCAGTGCTGAGTATGAAAGCGTCAAGGCTTGTGCACCTTGGTATTTAAGTTGACAAAGACAGTCGTGCTGCACCACAGTTGACCTTTGACCTTGTCGTGGGCCCCAGCATGTGGTCTTGAACCACGCCGGGGCCACTGATTTAACTCTGGTCCGATTACTCTTCCCTGCTACTCGCGATCAAGCATTAACTGATTTTGCAGCCGTTTATAGAAAAAAGGGCGAATTCGTTGGGCGCATTTAAGGGCCCTGATGGTCTAGTATTTGGACAAACAAAAGTGCATTTGACCATTTCAAGGCTCCATGTTGGCATCATTGTTACTCGATAACCTGCTGGACTTCATGCGACCTCGCTTGACCCATTGGGATCGCCATGTGATTCCGGCAACAAGGAAACACAAAATCCAGTCTCCGACTTTTCGATTGTCAATCAAGTACAGCTTCTTTTAAATAATTCAATTCATTTTAGCAGTTGTTAGGTTGCATAACTGTGGTGTTTCGTGTAGCAGGTGGTTGATGCTTCAGAATGAGTTAGAATGACGTTGTCGTAGGCCCCAGCGTGTGGTCGTGAACCACGCCGGGGCCACGGAATTAACCCTGGCCCGATTACGCGTCCCGGATACCCGTGATGAAGAAAAAGATCGGAGAGGACGTGGACACAACCGTTTACTTCAGAGCTCAACCAAGTTGGTGTCGTGTGAGGGGTATGCGCGCGTGTATTTATACCTCGGATGTGTGAGTCGTACATGCGCTAACATCGAGACCTAGGTGTGGGGATAATCCAAATATCCGTGTGCATGAGGGGTGAGTTGAGGATTCGCGTGGCTGGCGACATGCTACGAAAAGGGGAACCCTGTGTCTGAGGCTGGAGCGGCCGGATTAAGGGGCGTGTATATAAACACGATTCACAGCAACCTGTTCATATAGACACGAGATAGTAGTGGCAGCGTTAAATTATACAATACACTTGCCGCCAAAATTCGATTCCACACACTTGAAGCCGCAAAGAATAACAAGCGAATCGGACCATTCGAAAACGCACACGTGTTATTACAATTGAAAGAGAGTAAACAGTAAATGGTAAATGACTGCAAAATGTCCGCAGACATATCGGTATGTACATGCCCCGCTTATCATTGGGCAAATTGTGGGTGGTGAGTTATACAAGCAGTTCTCCATGATTGACTGATCAGAGCTTGAGTTGTGTCCTGGAGGATCGACTAGTAAAGATGTTGACCGCCGAATCGCAGAAACTTAGTGAGTTATTGGCCCGGTTCCACACACTCAAACTGGTGGCTATCGTGTTGATGACTGGTGTGGGCTGCAGCACGCTCAATAGGCTTGAGTTCCTCTATCGATCGATCTGTCTCCGATTTGGGAACGGAGTGGAATCACTTGAAGCGAATTGCGCTCGTGTTGTAACCATAGCCACTGTCTTTGTTGTCGATAGAGTTAATAAGCGCATTCGAACGAACGCACCTAGCTGTTATTACGCCACCTGGCTCACATCGCCGCACCTCTATAATCGCCACAAGCAGCATTTACTTTCGTTTGTTTTAGTGAATCGTTACAACAGGCGCGCCCCCTTCAAACGTCGGCGACGTGCCCGTTGATACCAGACGTGGGCAACAATGCCACCACCACCTCCGCCGCCGCCGCCACCACCACCACAGTGGCGAATTCCTTTTCGGCCGTGTTTCGGACGAACAACTTCGCGTCTGGCGCCACCCAAAGAACCGCAAGTGCCACTCGTAATCCCCAACTCCCTCCCTGTAAATTCTCCCCTAACAACAGCCTGCCTCCCGAGTCGCTGAACTTTCCTCCAATAATTGATGCCCTCTGGGAGGAGCCAGATGGCAGTGAAGGTAGTTAGCTGTGTGGTCACCCCGTCCCACCGAAACGGTAATCCATGTGGTGTAGACGCAGTCTACAGAAGACATCGTATTTATTTCATCTGCTTCCTGCTTTGTTCAGCGACTTTGCGCGAAGCCTAACCCAATTTATTTCAGCAGTGCGGCTTTTCTCGTGCCTACTACTATGCCTCGCTTATTGGCTTTTTTAAAAATTTAATCCTTTAGCGAATTTCATCATTGCTAAACTACAATGTCTTCTAGTCACTATAAATCAGACGCCGCGGTTTCCAAATATCCTTGCTTACTTATTAGTTGTAAGTAGTAACAATATTATGGTGACTTGTAGAGCGATCTCAGCCGAGCAGTTCCATGGCCTCAATAAACCTGGAGTCGCTGCCCCCGCCTCCACCTCATATCTTGAATCCCTTCCTTCCTCTGACAACCAGCGCTGTGAGTCCGCAGCCTTGTCACCACGCGCCTGGCGTGTCGACCTTCTGCAACTCCACGTGCTGCCAACGGAAGGAGAGTCAGCCGAATTCCCCGCAGTTGCGCGACACGACACCGCCTGCCTCGGTGCTTCCTGCCATTGAAGAGGCCCAAAAGATCTACGATTCTCTTCCTGACAACACCCTCTTCCTGCCACCAGAGAGCCTAAGTCTTATGGAACGACTTGGTTAGTGTTTACGATTGTTTTGTCAGCTTCGCAGATTTAGCAACCGGCCTCGGTGTCTAACTTCCAAGCACAAGTACACACTCACCGCCGTCCTCGTATATTTTTTTATTGAATATCTACTCGAGTAGCAATCGCATCTCCAATGATTGGACAAGTGACTGAGCATCTAGCCAATCACGTAAGAGTTAATCTGCGCGCTGTATAAATCGGTGACTGACGTCTCACACCGTCCATTCATGACCATTCAGAAATTCCTTCATTAGTCTCATGAATTTCCAGATTGGAGACGTCTTAATTCAACTTAATTAACTGGAATTACCTAAGACCTGTCTACTGTACCCACTAGCCAAGTTTGCATCTCATTTGAAGGTTTTTTTCACCCCAATATGTGAGGCCGTGGTAGGGTGAATAAACATGTTACTAAACATGTATGAGTAACAATGTTTTTGCATCTTTTAAAAACTAGTGTTCAATTTTTTGAAGGCGGTGGAAACTTCGGCCAAGTCGTGAAGGGGATCTACAAGACGCCTCACGGTCTGGATGTCCAAGTTGCTGTCAAAACCCTCAAGGAGTCTCAGATTGCCTGCACTGGTGAAGTAAGTCATCGTTGTTGTTTTCAACCATCGGCAACTCCACGTTCGGGATTATTTGCTGTCTGAAGTGACGAATTGTACTAGCGGTTATGGTCAATTTTATCGCCGCTGAATAATAAATGGTGAACGCAAATTGTTGTTATGTGCATTCACACGTCTATGCCTTCAGTCACTTTAACAGTATCCCTGATATTTATAGTCACCTGGTGTGTGTGAATCTTAACCATCCAACATCTAACACCCGCTACTCATATTTTATCAGTAGTTATAGTGTTTTAATAGAGCTAGTCCAATTGCTCATGTAAAGTCTGCGAACAATTCTACAACAAAACCAAAAGGACGAGGTGAGTAGATATTCCTTGGTTTTCGAGGTCTTCGCAGCTTTCTTGGCCGAAGTTTCTATGACTCCTGCTAAAAGGACCCTTACTCAAGTCCTGCATCTTCCAGCTCATCGAGCTAGTACATTTGCGGACGTTATTTCACGATTGCGTATTCCTGAACTCTTGGAAACATTCCGATTCAACAAATTTCATAGATATTCTTTGCATGGGTTGCCGTCTTGTTGAATTACTGTGTGATTATTTTGTATGCTCTTCAATCGGCTAACTAAAACAATTCAACCAATCACCGATCCCTCTTTTTGCGCGGGCACGCAAATTTACGGCCCAGCGGTTCAAATGGCATTTTAATAATTCTTTTTAAAAGAATCCGTTGAAAGGCTGCTGTTACGCCTCTAAATACCAGAATATTTTGTTAATGGAGTTTAATTGCGCAGATACGATTGCCCGCACCAAATTCATTAATCAAGATTAAGCCCAAAAGTGTTGTGGATGAATGTGCGTCTTGGATTTGGCGTCTGTTACCTCGACTATATTTTGGCTGCAGCGCTAAAATCAAGCTCTTTTTTTCATTCTAATCTCGGGAATGGGTAGAAAAATAAGCCATCGGCGATTTGATTCCACGTATGCGATTAGATTGTGCACTTTTGTGGGTGAATCATTCGAACAAATCTTGGAAAGGCAGATCGTTGAATAATGATTAAGGCGGGGGCAGAATTTGACCAATCACGTGACAAGACCACCATTTTCATAGCTCTAGTGACCTCAAACTTTTGTCCTTTTTTAAGTCGCTACTTCGTTTATATTGATTTAAAGCATTGACAGCGCCCTTATACTAAAACCAGGCACGATTAGAGGTCAAATTAATCAGGTGCAAAAAGAATCTTGATACGAAAAAAATCGGGAGATCTTCAATGAAGACATGTTGTGTGCTTTAGACGAGGTGAATCGGCACGCGTAAGAACGGTTCATTCACGTCCACGTCCCGCATTTGGTGGGACGTTAGCACAGCTTGTGACGTTTTTACATTCGTTCACTTTGACTAAAAACTAATCCCTCGGTAATTTACTTCAGCTGGGGTAGCCTCTTGAATTTTAATCGACATGATGGCCAGTGTTTAAACGCGTCAGATCATGTTTTAAATCCACTCGATTTGTACAGACCCGTTTATCAAAATCCTTGAATTTCCATTGGAGGAAGGAAGAAGGCTTTGCGTGTGTTAGGGGTGGGGATTAGCGGTCACATCGTATCTGATCAGCCCAGCGTCTATATGTTGCCTGTTCCTCTCTGTGTGGTTGAATACAACGTCCTTGCATCATTTTATTCAGGTCAATGGTTGTGCACCTCGATTCCATGTCATTTTCATTCTCAACCTTCTCAAACCTAGTCATTAACGGGTTAAAGGTAATTTGGCTGGCTTAAATTCCTGGTTGCTTCTTCATGGGTTTGACAGTTGTTTTGGAAAGTGCATTCCGTTAACTGATGTCCTCACACTAAAACATTCGTAGTGACTGTCACACGTCTGATGCCTTACTGCGTGACCACTTTTTTACCTCGACCTTAGTAGACCACTTTTTCGATTTCAGCAAACCATCCTCGCGGAAGCGAAAACAATGACCCAGTTGAAGCATAGGCACATCGTCCGACTGATTGGTAAGAACCATGATAACTACTTCCAACTGTCCTAAGTAGTAGGACAGTTTTGGTTAAATTGTGTGTGTGTGTGTGTGTGTAGGCTGTCTCCACCCAGTGGTTAAGTCATGAGATCGTGCTAGGCTCTTTCGTTTGACTCATCCACTCAGCTCCCTTATCTGATGAGATGTGATGCCTCAACGCTTCGTCCAGTTTGATTTGATGTGTTAGTGCGTGACGTGATCGTGGGAATCTGTTGACAGCCATTCGGCTGTTGTTTGATAAGTGTCGCTATAAATGGAAGCTTCTATCCGAGACTGCGATCGGCGGCTGCCACACTCGTGACCTGCATTCAGTAGACAAAGGAGCCACAAAAGCGATCTGAGAACCAAAGCTGATATCACGCCGAAGTAGTGTTGAGATTAGATTTTGTCTCAACCAGTGCCGCCTAATCTTACCTGTACCTTGGACGACCATGGCAACCACGAAAACAGGTTGAACACTTAAAGCGGAAGTGATCTGATGGCGCGAAGGCAAGAGAGGTGCTCGTTTGATTTGGAATGGTGTACAAAGCTGAACCTTCAAAACGTTGAGTTTGCTTAGACGTCCGATTTGGGAATCTTTCCAAGTCCAGGGGGTTCTGGCGAAGACCTGCAGACCGTCACTCCACTGTCGAGGAGCTGACAGTTCACTGTTGCAGGAATATTCCACTTTAACTTACGTTTTTCTGGGCACAGTTAGACGGATAATTACTCCGTACAAACTCAAGCCTTTTGGTTTTCCGGTGTCGTGTTATGCACTCAAGTCACCACCGAAGTTAGTGGATTGGCACGTTGAAATATTTGGCACGTAATTCGAGTGACTACTGCTGGAGTACGAGCAGTAATCATTGGGTGCTTGTTTTGGAGGTTTAAATTTCAATTTTTTTCTCTTTTCAACAGGCGTCTGCAAAGCCCAGCGCTTCATGTTGGTTCTGGAACTGGCACCGCTCGGGCCAATCAACAAGTACCTAAAGAAGCATCCGTAAGTCTTCGTTTCTCACCACGCCGTCGACTTCCGCACGTTTGTCGCGATTAGATGGGCAGTTTGTGGATTGACTGTGCAATCAGTGAAGTCAGCACGTTTGGTAGTGGAGTAGTTGTATTCAATGACTGCTAATTTGCACAAGAGAGGGAAACGCGGTCACTTGCTAGGCTAGATAAATTGCTGTTATTGTCGGCAATTGTGTGCCTAGAAGGCGTCACAGCCTCGGGATGTGCACTCACGGTTCGGGTAGACACCCGATCGAAGTTGTTGTGGCCTCCAGCATGTGGTCTTGAACTACGCCGGGGTCACGTAATTAACCCTGGCCCGATCACGCTTGCCTGATACCCGCGGTGAAGAAAAAGCCCGGAGAGGTTGGGACACAACCGTTTACTTCGGAGCTCAACCACGTTGGTGTTGTTGTGTCGTGTGTGGGGTTTGCATGTGTGCCATACATGCGCTAACATCGAGACCCAGGTGTGGGGATACTCCAAGATAGATATCAGTGTGAATGAAGGTGAAGTTGAGTATCCGCGTGGCTGGCGCCATTCTGCGAAAAGGGGAACCCTGTGTCGGAGGTGGAGCGATCCGATTAAGGGGTTTAATAAACACGATTTACGGCAAAGTCTAGTCTTCAGTCTTCAACGCAAAAGGCCTTACCACCTGAGTGTCGTTTGTTCCCCCAGGGACACGTCAGTCTGCGTGTTGGCGGAGTTGATGCACCAGGTGGCCCAGGGCATGGCCTACCTGGAGTCCTGCAAGCTGGTGCACCGCGATCTGGCCGCGCGCAACGTCCTTCTCGTGACCCAACGCTTCGCCAAAATCAGCGACTTTGGCATGAGCAAGGCCCTCAACTTTGGCAACGACTATTACCGGGTAGGTGCCACCGCCTCCTCCTTCTCCCCTTGTCCTCTCTTTCTTTCTTCCAACTCGGTAGCAAAAGCGAATTGGTTGTGCCCCTTTTAAGTACAGCAAAGGTCTATATGCCATGTTCCATCAAACAGGTCACATGAATCGATGTGTTGGTCTACGTTGGTGAACACAGTTCTACCAAAAACGAATTATCGTTTTTGCGGAATTTGTTCCCGCTTTCAACTGACAACTAACATCCAATGTACGGTCATGTAACCGGCACTTAAAGTTTTCACATGGCTCAGGTTAGCGCAGTTTCATTTTAATTCTACAAATAGATAATTTTACTGGTTTAAGGTTGACTTTAGCCAATGAAAGTGCAGGTGCGTTGTTGAATGCTTCATGTTGGCCTCCATGCCAGTCACAGACCTCCCTTGTGCAGCACATCGACCAACTGAATCGCCCCCAAATCCGAGTAATGTTAATCGAAAATAGGCAGGCCGGATTGTCCTCTTCCAAACCTTCATTACTTTATCACTTAGCACCGTAGATAAACATGTTCGCCACAAGGCTGGGAGCATGTTTTCAATGTGTGCTTATGAGTGAGTTTCGTTTGCAGCTGGTGCTTGATGTTTAACTACATTCTTGTTACGCAATGCAATGTTAATAAGTAGGACTGTTAAATCCGAAGTTAGTCATTTCCGCTCTTAATGGACTTGGATGTTTTTGCACCACGGGACAAGTATACACTTAACACAAAAACCCATATTGTCGTCCTACAATCTGGCTTCCGTTCAATTCGTGCTCACGTGAAGCTGTGAAGGGTTTTTACTGGTTGATTGAGTGCATTTGTTGTGAGATAAACAGCAAGTGGGAAGAAGCATCCAGTGCACACCCAAGTCGGTCGCTACCGTCGTCAACAAAGCGCTTTATTTACCGATCGCGTGTAACGCCGCCTAGCGCTGAAATAGGAAACCTAGTGTTTTTGGGAAGGACCGCTTTTCCGGCTTGGGTTTTCCTACTCCCGGGGGTAAACTTGTGCGTGCGTGTGTTGGTGCAGACAAATGAGTCCATGTGGACATGCACAATGGTTTCGCTATCAAAACTGTCGCGTTATTAGGCTTGAGTTATTGACAATTCGCTTTACCACTGCATGTCAGCGGGACATCCTCTTATTGTTCTCCTTTGATACACTGTATCCTCCAACAGATCGACTAAAAGCATTTTAAGTATCGCCTGGTTAAAGTATAGTTCTTTGTACATTGTGTTCATGCAACGCCCAAACCACTAATGTGGCTACCTTGGTAACGACAGATTGGGCTCCCTCTATTTGTGGTGTGAAAATAGGCAATTCGCAGTTTTCATGGTTTTTTTTGCGTTCTTCTCAGGCTAAAATGATCCCAGCGTCTCCAGGATGAAGACGTGATAATCAGGCAACGGTCATCAGGTCTATCTGCAAATTATCTGGTCAGATTATTTTGGCAGTTCAAATTGCGTCGTTTCCTTGTGCCAAGTGTTTCCGCTCTCCTCTCTCGCATTTAAGGAGTCCGATCATCGGCTTTGCCTACTTCCTTAACTCAGACAGGTTAAATTTAGTGGTCTCAATTACGGTTCACTAGTTGCTGGTCTTTAAATATCAAGTCCCAGTCAAACACTCTAGTCTGCGCACGCAGTTTGAAATTTGGCGATAAATTAACAGCCAAGTCGGTTGTGTTTTAGTGTAGCTAAATTTATTACTCGTTTGTTTAGTAACATCCGCTAAATCAGTTAGAAACCCTAGACGGTTCTTTGCCCAAGCTTCTTTCTAGTAGTGAATGCCACTTTGCAAGTAGTAACGGTTTTGCAGAATGTAATTTCGTTTCTTTTAATGGATTTCTGTCAAAAGTGGAATTTCCCCTTCTTGTGATTTGACAGGCGTCATTCCTAGTGTACTTTTGAGGCAGTCGTTAGTTTGGCGTCGAAAGAAGTGATGTGACGGCGAATAACTCCAACATATGTTGCTTTTTTACTTCCTAAAATGCTAGAACGTTGTTGGTTGGACCCACAAAGAGGTGTAGTATCGATGGCCCAACAGAACGTACATGTCTAAATTGGTTAAGATGTTCCTTCCAAGAACAATTAACTTTTGTCCTGGCTTCTCGACGTGTATGATAATCCTGTCGAGGCGTGGTTGAAACGAACAGCGATCTTATGACGGAGCGAAATACTGCAAAGTGGTGGCGTAATGCGTCACACGCAAACACACATTTAGTGTGAATGCGGTGACTTCGGTTCCACGCGAATCGACAAATTTTCACTCAACCCAACGACACATTATTTGCACTTGACATCATAACAGCAATACAGCAGAATCATGAGACTGCCAGAAAGATGGAATAAGGTCGGCGAACAGAAATCAATCACAGATAATTTGTTAAACAAGATTTTTCTTCACGCTAGATTATTTGGGGTTAAAACGTGCGTTTTTGGGAAGGCTACACCGAGCCTCCTCGTCACTTTATTGGTACCGTTTGCCTTCCTGCATGTATTCCTTGGTTAAAGTGCAGCGTCACCTTTTGTCGAATAAAGTGGATGAATTAGCTCAACGTCGATCTCAGTCGCATCTCAGCGCTGTCTTGAAAGCTGCGCTACGCCTAGCCGTCTGCCTCAAGAGTCCCAGACGCAAGCAACTGCGTTCACCTCATCACGCGCTGTAACAGTAGGAGCCAGGTCAAATGTCACCGATGTTACAATTGAGTATCCTTCTTCGCTCCCTCCCTCAAGTGCCTCATGTTCGTCTCTTAGTTCTGCTTCTGTGATCCCCTGTCCACGTCTTCTTGTGTCGTGCGTCGTTGAAAGCAGTTTGTGTGTATTTGCGTTTACCGTTGTAGGCAGCGAGCGCGGGCAAGTGGCCACTTAAGTGGTACGCCCCGGAGTGCATCTACTACTTCCGATTTGACTCAAAGTCAGACGTCTGGAGTTACGGCATCACCCTATGGGAAGTCTTCTCCTACGGCGAGAGGCCCTACAAGGTAAGTCAGGTGCTACTGCTGTGCACTTTTGACCACCGTAATCGTGCTTTCGCGAGTATTCTTCGCCACAGAAATCAACATTCCCATCTGTTCAGAGGGGTCAAATGAATCGACCACATTACGTCAGCGACCACCTATAAGTCACATAGGCATTGGATTACAGCCCTTTGGACAAAAACGCCATCGATCCCATTGTCCCCCACAAATCTGCCAACTTTTGTGCTTGTAGCACTGCCACACCGGGTGAATGGGGTTGAGTTTCGTCATCATTTGGCAACCCTAGACATAGTTTCCTCTGTCAACTGGAGCTCGGAGTTAAATCTTCTAAAGCCCCGACGTGAGTTCGAGTCCAATCTTGGAGTAAATAATTTACCGGATCTTGGACACCAACCACTGATACTCCGAGATGTATGAGGAGGCCTCGGACAATGGGGATTCGAGGGTTTTTCAAGTGGACCAACCAACGATGTGATATTTGGTCATATTTGGGCCGGTTGTCTTGAACCAAACCAGGGGCGCCGCGTTGTTTTATTGGCTCGAAAATGCTGCACCAATACCCATAAAGATTACGTAGACCGGAGGTGGTGGAGAGCCAACCCTTTAGCAAATAGCTTAATGGAGTTGAGTCCTTATTGTGTGCGTGCATTCAAAGTAATGCCCGACTAACGTAGTTGTTGACCCACACAGTTTGGGTGAACTTATAAAGGTACAAATGACTGATTGGCCACATGAGTGACGTGGAAAGCGGGGGAGTTATATGCAGAGTGTGCAGACGGCCTGTATGTCTGGCAGGCATGCTGTGAAAAGAGGGCAGTGTTTCCGACTTGGTTGATCGTCGTAATTTATAAATCACCGATTAACTCAGAGGGCGCACAGTTGTGGGTGGCTTGTAAAAGTGCACACGTGTGTTAAATATGCGACAGAGGGTATTTTTGTGTGTGTGCGTGCGCAGGACATGAAGGGCGCGCAAATTCTAGCAATGCTGGACCAGGGTCTGCGCCTCTCGCGTCCGGCACGCTGTCCAGAGCCCATCTACGCGGTGATGCAGCAATGCTGGAACGCGGAGGGCGTGCGACGACCTACCTTCACCGAACTCGTGCTCACCATGTCACGTCTCGCCGCGGGACCTCTCCTCCTCACCCCCCTTCCTGGTGGCCTTGACAACGAGCGCGCCGTCGCCAACTCAGGTGGATCCGGCGTCAACAGCGGCGGTGGGTCCGCGAGCGCTTTTGCCTTCTTCTAACTATGAATTTTCTACTCTTAATTTCTTTCACCAATGTACTATACAGCTATACACACATACATCCTATGAGTCCACTCTTCGGAGTTGTGGTTTCTAGCAAAAACCCTCCCTGAGTGGGTTGGGATTCGCGGTCTTGCTTCGGGGAAACTTCGCCTAGATCTCACGTAAGGAAGTAGCAAATGGTTTTAACAACGTGGTTTGAGATGAGATCAGAGGGAATGGGTGGAAGTGGACCTTGGAACGACAGCTTCGGTAAATCTACTGCTTGGTCGCGTTCTTATTTGTAAAGAAGTAAAGTTTTAGATAATAGGTCATACAAGGAAAGTCAGTGGGGGGGCCATGGAACTGCAGTTGTTTTGTAGGTCATTGTGGATTAGAATTGTAAAAAGACAATAACAGAGACCGTCTTGAGACAGTTAAGGAGTTGTGGAGGTCAAGACACAACCGTTTAATGGATTGCTCAACGAGGTTTTGCTTGTCGTGTGCATGTATTAGAGGCAGTGAATGGCTGTGTTGTGGGCCCCAGCATGTGGTCCTGAACCACGCCGGGGCCACTGACTTAACCCTGGCCCGGTTACGTTTGCCTGATACCCACGATGAAGGAGAAGGCCGGAGAGGACGGACACAAGCGTTTACTTCAGAGGTCAACCACGTTGGTGTCGTGTGTGAGGTTTGCGCGTGTGTATTTATAGCTCGGATGTGTGAGTCATACATGCGCTAACATCGAGACCTAGGTGTGGGGACACTCCAAGATAAATATTCGGGCTAATGAAGGGGGAGTTGAGGATTCAAGCGGCTGGCGACATGCTGCGGTTAGGGGAGCCCTGTGTAGGAGGTGGAGCGACCAGATTAGGGGGTTGAATAAACAGGATTCACGACAGCTGCAGCAGAGTGAACCAGTAAATTACAGACGATCATTCGGATGAAGTGGGTAGTGGTGGTACATGCACAGGGGTGAATAAGTAAACGGTCCTTTTGACTGAAGGGCACGTCGTGAGAATGGGGGCGTGTGTTTGAGACTGCGACGACCAGGTTAATGGACGTGAATTAACACGATTCACTACAGATCCCTGTAACGCCTAGATCAACTCACATCAATGTGGGGCTGGAGATTTCCTGAATAGTTGGGAATCTATTTGCATTTTGCGAAACACTTCAATTATTTCAAAATGAAAAACAGCGCCTTGAAGAAGATATCGTCTCAAGTGCGTTTACCTGACCGTCTACTGATGTTATTTATGTGGTGCCAAGACGTCCTTTAAAACGATCGTTTCTCCTTCCGTTGAAGCGTCTTTGACGATCATATGATGCAAACGGGGTTCGAACACTGCCAGTTGGTCCTTGGCACAACGCACTATTCTTATAATATTTAGTTCGGTTCTGGGAACCACACCAGGGCCGACGATCTGCGCCGAGAATGTCCGTCCGACGAAGAGTGGAAAATGCAGATGACGCGTAGCTCAACTTATTTATTGACGCGGTAGTGGTGTAAAAGGTAGCAAGTCAGTTTTTATAGAATCGGATTGTAGCGGATTAAGAGCGATAGCGCCTGAGTGAATCCTGGTTACTGACCTGACGGTGACAATGACTCATCCCCTCTCCCATTGGTTGCTGTTATCAGACGCCTGTCATCCGTTCACTCATCCACTCACTAAGACAGACACTTGACCGGCGTGACGCTGATAAACAGTCGTGTTGTCTGTCGCCTCTTTTGCCGCTCTTCTCGGGTTGTTACGGGCTGCTAATTAGAGGGTTGTAAGGTGGTGCTAGACCGCAAGCCACTACAGGCTAAACAGCGATCCCTGAACGAACGCAGTTACGTAGAGTGCATTAGTGTGCAAACCAATTGAATCGCGCTCGCTCACACTTGCTCACTGCATTCGCTTGCCGCTCGCCACGCACGTATTAATGGAGAATGAAGTAAAAAGCGTGAATAAATGAAGAAGTCAAGTCGGATAACGCGTGTACATTTCAACTAACACGCAAACCACAGCTTATGAATTTTAAAATGTTAAATATTTTCGTAGAAATTGGCTTGGCTTAATGAATGCAAGTTACTGGTTGTGTAGATTACCGGGCTTTTCTACTATTTGTGAAATCGTCGTGGTGAGTCGCGTTGATTCACGTCAAACAAACCGGTCATCGCGGCCTCACACGTCTCCCTTTTCACGGTGTGTCCGTCAGTCACTGGGACAGCCAGCCCATTCACCACCACCCGGTCCACCGACGTGACCATTCAGGCGTCTGTATTTTTCGTAGCCCGCTCAACTGTGTCGGTCAACACCTCACGACTAGTTTGAGCTGTCTAGTAAACGTTTGTGCCTCGTCCTCTCCGGTCTTCTTCATCTTAGCGGTACTCAGGGTAGAGTAATCGGCCTAGGTGCGACCCAGTGGCCCCAGTTTGGATCAAGATAACATGCCAGGGCCCTAAACGCCGTCACTGCTAATCTCTATATCACAAATTGTGTACCATTTTGAGCACATGCTCACTTAATGACAATACTTGGATTTTTTAATCAAAAACAATCGGTATGATGGCCGATTTTTTTGAATTCGAGCGTCTTCGGAAAGGGGCAAGATAAATGGGTAGAATTTCTTGCTATTAGACGCATAATAGTCCATTTTGCAAATGTTTTGTTTTTCTTCCCCTACGTGGCTTGTTGGGAAAGCACCATCGCAAAAAAACAAGGAAGTTGTGGGATAGTGAGTTGCAAAATTCGCACTAGCGACAGCATTATATTCATTCCGCTGAGAGTTCGCCACGAGGAAACAAACAACAGGAAACAATATCATTGTTTTTCGCGTTTTTTATGCAACAACAAATTGTCAACAATGTCTTCACGATTTCTAACAATCACGAAAACATCTTTTCTAATCTACCTGAATTAATTCCACATTTTTCTACTTAAGTCAACAGTGAGGAGATCGCCCAACCATCTCCCCTGATTTAAACGCGTTTTTGTGAAAAAACGTGAGAGCGAAGTGGGTTTATGAAATAAACTCTGGGGGCACACACGGAAAACTAAAAAAAACTAAGCTTTTTCACCCAAGTACAACAAACCTCGTTGTAGGTAGTTTACGAGATTAAATATCCTTGCAGTAGGCTGTCGTTTAGATGGCTGATTTACCAAACCACTCATGGCACAGGCCAATTTCGAATGACATTGAATTGCTACATTTTTGCTGATCCCACTTAAAAGGGATCCACAACTGTGCTCAAAATAATAAGGCTAAAGGTTTGTTGGATCGTCGTTACGGACACTAAATTTAACAATTGTTTTCAAGCATTGGTTTTGCAAGATATTGAACACAGCAGAGAAATAGTTTGGAAGAAACATGAACATTTGCACACGGGGATTGTAGGGCAGTACTTCATTTCGTATTGGTATCGTTCTATGAATCTGTGATGATAGTGGTTAAGGTGAGGCCCGAGCCAATTGTTATGAGGATGGAGCCAGATGTCTGTCAGACAGCTAAAAGTGAAACTCAACGAGCGTCCAAAAATAAGAGGTTTGAAATCGTGGGTGGCCCATTTCGCTATATCTGTAGCGGATTAGCAGCGATCACGCCCGAGTGAGCCCTGGTCACCGACCTGACGGTGACAATGACTCATCCCCCTTTCATTGGTTACTGTATCAGATGCCTGCCATCCGTTCACTCCTCCACACACTAAGACAGTCACTTGGCTGGCGTGACGCTAATAAACGGTCGTGTCCTCTGTCGCCTCTTTTGCCACTCTTCTAGGGATGTTACGGGCTGTTAACCAGAGGGTTGTAAGGTGGTGCAAGATCCTAGCCACCACATTTCAACTTCTATGTGAGGCGTTTGGCCTTAAAATGACAAGTATGCAGTAAGCATCGCATCGTCTATCCACTGGGTAAGTGGATATTTCCATTACTACAAAGCGACGGCATAAATGCTTGAAGAAGAACCTTAAGTGCCTATTGACACGTTTTTACTGATTAACCGGAGGCATAACCGCGTTCATTGACAGTACCACAGTACCCAAACAGCCGCGAAAATATGCTTAAGTCATATCGGTCTCTCAGAATCAAGTTGCATTTTAAAAGGTCCACAAGGCACCACTGAACACCTTACAGTCAGCAGATGAACGTGGATTTGGAGTAGCATACGAACAGACTATTACTTAAAAAAAGAATAAGTAGCATACACACAGGGAACCAACAGTGCAACCAGACGCCGTGATTACCTGGCTCGGAAATTAACTGAACAGATGAAATGCAGTAATTAATGAGTTCTGCATCACTCAATCTGATTTGGCTTCTTTTGTCTGATCGCCAACGACCAAACTTAATCTACATAGAGTCACAAGTGAATAAGCTTCATAATTCGCTTATCGAAAGTGTTTGGAATCCCCCTGCAGTCCTACTAAGACCGCAGTCTGCACATTAGACTTTGAGGGCATTAGTAATCAGTGGAGGATGATTTCGTCACAATTAATTTATTCCTCGTAGATTTGGCTCTTCACTAAAAACTCACATTCGGCAAGCTAACACCCCATAATTTGTATTTTATTCACTATTGAAAACCATTTTTCACGTTTTTAGCCTTATGATTCCGTTCTTGGGTAGCCGGAGTGATTAAGTGGGGTAATTTTCTTTTTTTACTTATTCACAACTCTAATTTGTGCTGCGCTTCTACTTTCTTTCCTCATTTGACGTCCGTTTTGCCGCCAACGATAATCATGGCACACTGAAGCACCGCAACCGATTAATAGAATTCAACCAATAACTAGAGGCAGAGGCTAAGTTTGGCCATTTTGAGGAACCGGAATTTGTAAGATTACATTATTACTTTTTTCTGTAACTACATCTGCAGTGAATCGTTTTGATTCCCGCCCAATAACCCGATCGCAGTAGCCTCATACACACGAACCCCATTTCACGGAATGTCCGGCTGTCACGCGGGATCGCCTGCCCATTCACCCCTCTTCATGTACAAATTCCAACCTCCCGCTTTATTCATGTGATTATTCAGAC